GATACTTGTAGTAGATGGCAATAGATAATATTTCTATATACTCTGACAGCCTTTCCACTAGGTTTCCTGCAGTGGTTACTAGGGGTTCCTCATGGAATGAAAAATTTCTGCTTCTTGAATAAGTGACCACTGACATAATGATCTCTTAGCTACATGTCAGGGTAAAAAAAACTTCCCACTGGCGACAAATGTCCAGGAACACTCATCCCACTGATCATTATACCAATGTACCATGAGCTATAGATCTTGAAATTATTACCAGGAGTTCCCTGAGACCAGAAAGTTATTTCAAGAGTTCCTCCATATCAAAAAGGTTAGGAAAAGTTGCTCTAAAATATGTATGTAAGATATGTGTCTTGAGCAGAAATACTGCAATTCAACTCCAGGAGATACCTGGATCCAAAGGTTCTTTGTAGTGAGCACTGTCTTTCTGTATTGCAGAGGGATACATTGGTCACTACTGCCTCTATGTAGCAATCAACTCTGTGGAGTTGAGCTTTTTCATTACGTTATTATACTGTTAGAAGCTACAGTGCTTGTATTATCTTCCTGTGCATACATCGAAAATGCATTTCCAAGATTTGCCAGTAAACAAAATTGGTGACAGTAAAGATATTCTTTATATGAATGTTGTATATGATCAAGTGGGCAAAAAATTGAAGGCTTTAAAGTAATATTATAAATTTTGTTTGTTTTAAAATAACAAACATGTCATACTTACCTGCTCTGTGCAGTGGTTTTGCACAGAGCAGCCCCAATCCTCCTCTTCTGGCATCCCCCATTGGCGCTCCTGGCCCACCCCCCCCCCATCAAGTGCCCCCACAGCAGTCCACTCTGGGGCACTTGTGTGTGCTCACTCCCGAACCCTGCTCCTTGTGTCCATAAAATATACAGAGTGGAGGTCGGGCCTGCCCTCCCGCTCTCTCTCTCGTCTCTGGCTCTGATTGCCTGAGCCAATGCCGAGCGATAGAACCTCGGTTCTCTTGCACATCTCTGGATCAGGCTCAGGCATAGGCATGTATTTAGTGGGGCTGCAGGGGAAGCTGTATGCAGAAACTGTGACTTTGCTGTGACAAATTTGTAGACGAGAAATGGCTAACCTGACAATACATGGACCCCAAATGGGAAATTATATACAGTACACCGTCAACTGTTACAATATACAGGTGTCAAATGCACAAACAAGATAATATGCGAGCAACACATGGGTAATTCAGATCAAAGAACAGGCACTCATAACTATACAGAGACAGCAAACTGGCAATTGTGACAAGTCACTATGCAGCCAAGAAATGGGCAATTGTGTCTGTATAGTGGCTACAGACTGGCAATTATGACAATATGCGAGGAATCGTGACAATATACACACAAGTGTGTAATTGTGACACTTTAATCTATTAATATATTGCAGCCTATCATTTGGTAGATGTGGTGGTTGGCCTTTTTCAGGCTTTTTTTTTTTTTTTTTTTTACTTAGGTATCCTGCCAGTAACACTCTTCCTGTCCTAGAAAGACCACGCTCACTCACTCCACTGTATCCATGGAGAAGCAGCACAGTCACACAGATTAACATATTTTTTCTGTACTTGCACTTACCCTGAACGAAAGAAAACAAATTCAGCCACCATATCTTCAGTATATTATATTTTTGGTATTGGGTTTAGATATCCTGTGGGCTTACCCTAACACATAAATTCATCTGAGCCCTAAAACATAACCTAATATTTTCATTTAACCTTCCCTGCACACTGCTAGATCATAAAGAAAAAGTAAAAACATGTACAAAGCATACCTGCTCACTGGATATAAAAAAAATCATAACTTATATGTCCTAAACTAAAAGAACAAAAATATGCTTTTTAATATACTTTTAATTGTATTTTTTGCTCCTATTTTTTACACCTATAATAAATAAATAGAACATATATACCAACCCTCTGTACATTCCCTTGAAGTCTGATTAGATGCTTTGGTTTACTTAAAGTGGAATTTCACTCTCTCAATCATCATAATGCTGCTAGCATTAATAAACAGATAGGAAAGTATATTATATTTACTTGTTTTAAAGGTTTTTTTTTTCCTTTTACATTTTTTCAGTTACTTCCTGGTTTCTGGCGTAGGCAAATGATGTCAAACATCCCAGGAGTGTTCAGGAGAGGAGAGGGGTTTTCTCAGCTAAGCACACCGTCTGCATGCCTGAACTAAGAGTAGATGGATTCCAGGAAATAAATGCAACATGTATCATCTGCCCTTATTCAAGATGGCCATAGCCAGAAATGATAGGGAGTGTTTTTAAAAGTGATTTCTCAGCAAAACAAAGCATGGAAACATGGATGGATGAGTTTGCTTTAAATATTAAAAATGAATTAAACAGTGTTTGCGGTGCTCAAATGCATTGTAGTTCCACTTTAAAGTATGCTAACGTAATACTTTTTTTTTTTTTCTTTGAATTGTGTACCCCTCCAATTACCTATGATCCCTGCTTTCTAGGGGTTACATCATCATGCATACTGGGCTCACAGTACTCCGGGACTAAGCAGATAAAAGGGTATTGATATACAGTATTTTATTTATTTATTTTTTTTAATAAAATAGAAATACTGGGAGGGAGGCAATCCTGGAGTTCCGCTTTAATATGTATAGTGTTTACCTTCACTAAAACAGAAATATACGAGAGCACTGAGGATGATCAGTTCATTTAGCTAAAATTGCCAAGGACACACAACATTCAATGCACTTTACTTTTGTCATTCACAGGGGTGCTGTAAAATTACACCTTGATTGTGGTAAAATTACCTCAATTATATGAAACCATCACTTATCTTTGAACTGGAGAGCTTGAATGTTTACATGTTTTGACTGCTGTCTTGCAGTGTCTCTATTCCAAAGAACTGTTATCTATTTCTAGTTTGTTAGATATAATAGACCAAGCTGAAGCCTGTGTACTATTAAATCCAGTGGAGCAAATTGATGGCTATTTGGTTTCCATTAGACCCCTGTCCTGACAAGCCAACGTCTATTTACTTTACATTATACAAAGTAGAGCCAATTAGCAGCTATTTACTGTCCATCAGGCCTTGTAGAACAATTTCAGGTATATTTGCACTGTTTTATACAGCAGTCAACATTGCATTAGCTCTGACTGTATTTAGGTCAGTTATTGGGTTCCTGTGATGTGAAAAGGGCTAATCTTGTTTTGTTCAAAAAGCCATTGTGTGTATTTTGAACATTTAATGTAATAGGAGAAAATCAACACTGTACATAGCTGTGGCCTGGTTTACAGCCAAGTAGTGGAAGGCTATAATGAATGAGATTGTATTACGTACTTTCTGTTATTTATTTAAGATCTGCAATGCACTGTTTTAGACATTTGCGTCTGTAAATTGTTTTTATATTATTAATAATTTACTATCCTTTATTTTTATATATATTTTTATCCTATTGTTATTCTTTTTTTTTTAACATACCAACATTTTAGAAGAAAACTGCACTAAAAGAAATCTGTAGGTAGCCAATGGTGACTTTCTTAAAATGCTGCATGCTTTGGCTTCCATGCTTTTGCAATGGCTATAATGTTTTTGAGCCACCAATTTGGAACAAGAATGTGGTAATTGCAATTATCTGGTATGCATTGCTAAATTCCTTCCCAATTATGAACTGGCAGGTTTGATTGAAAAATAAAATTCTGAACTGATAATATTTGACAAATTACTATCTGTCTGTATGATGAACAACATAATGATATGCACTGGTGATAAGAGACGCCTGTTATTTATTACAAGCTGTTACATGATATCATTGTGAAGCTAAATAATATTTGTACACGGCTTATTTTAAGTCAGATTAGAAATAATAATACATTTTAGAAAGTGTATGGTTATGTAATTGTTTGGATCTTGAAGGGTTATCTACATAAGGTCAGGGGTGTTTATTATATGGTATTAAAATAATATTCTCTTTCTAAATAGTATTTATTGAGTCTTCTATAAACAATTTTACATAATATTTGAGGGAGCCATAGAAAGTCCCCAGAACACAAAGGCCTCTTTCACATGAGCAATCCGTTCTGGTCCACCTGTCAGTTTTTCAGACATACTTGCTCAGATGTTCCATGTATTCCTGTGGACCAGTGGGTGTAAACAGATAAGTGTCCGTTAACACCTACCTACCTCTGATCTGATCTGCTGAAAAAAAAGGGGATCAGTTCCCGTCTGTCTAGACAGATCAGATCAGAGGTTATTCGGGTGTAGCCTGACAGCCGGTTCATTTACACCTGACCACCCGTAGAGCAGAACTATCTGTGTTTATGTCCGTTCTGCATAAACTGAGTGGACCTGTCATCCAACTGCTCTGCTCCAATCAGCAGGGGATCAGTGGACAGATCCCCTGCTGAGCAAATCGGATTCTACCCCGTGTAAAAGGGACCAAGGCATAGTTCAATCAAAGGGAGAAGATTTTTCAATAAGTATTAATCTCTGAGGTAATATGCAGTACAATGCACATTATAACATATCAAGAGAAGAGGAAATGAAACCAAAAATATGCCAAATTAGAGTAGGTGTGCAGCATTAGAGAGGTAAACGCACAACTGGTCATCAAGTATTAATTCCAAGGAGGAAGTGATATGCTCACACATCACCAAAAAAGAGAGCGCATACCATATTTTTTGCTCCATAAGATGCACCTGACCATAAGACGCACCTAGGTTTTAGAGGAGGAAAAAAAGGAAAAAAATATTGTGAACCAATTAACTGCAGACATAGTACAGGAAATGACCAGAAACTACGGATGTACTACAGGTGGTGTCCAGAGACTGCAAACATAGTACAGGAGGTGACCAGAGACTGCAAACATAGTACAGGAGGTGACCAGAGACTGAAGTCATAGTAGAGGAGATGACCAGAGACTGTGGACATAGTACAGGAGATGACCAGAGAGACTTCAGACATAGTACAGGAGGTGTCCAGAGACTGCAAACATAGTACAGGAGGTGACCAGAGACTGCGGACACAGTACAGGAGATGACCAGAGACTGCGGACACAGTACAGGAGATGACCAGAGACTGCGGACATAGTACAGGAGATAACCAAAGACTGCGGACATAGTCCAGGAGATGACCAGAGACTGCGGATGTACTACAGGAGATGACCAGAGACTGCAGATGTACTACAGGAGAAGGTGATGACACCGTTGGACCGAGGAACAGGTAGGACCAAGGAGCAGGTTCTGCTGCACAGAAGAGCCAAGCAGCCGGCCCGGTATTCTAACATGGCAGCGACGAGGGGAATACCAGGCCGGTCGCTCCATAAGACGCACAGACATTCCCCCGCATTTTTTTGGGGGAAAAGTGTGTCTTATGGAGCGAAAAATACGGTATATGTCCTCCAGCCACTGCAATAAATGGGTACAATGCAAAAGGCTTCCTAGGATAGCAGAGAAAGAAAGATGAATAGAGGAAAGAGAGAAATATAACCTGCCTAGGTGTCCACCTCCACCACCACTGAAATCCGCTTTAAGGGAGAGTATTGTACATAAAGTATCAAAGGATTTCAGAGCCTCTGGAACTTTGTCCTTCCTAAACTAGTATTTTATAGAAATTCTGAATTGTTTATTTCTGTATTGGGCAACACCCCTGGTTAGTTTGTCACAGGTTTTCCTTGCTGTTTGTGTTCCTGTTAGGGACATTTCCCTTTCCTGTTGCGGGACCCATTTGCCAGCAGGATAGGGGTACTTTCCCTAATTGGGAAACAGCTGTGAAAACTTAAAGTGGTTATAAAACCTAAATATTTTAAAAAATGTTTGCGCATCAGTATCTCTCCTAACCCTTTTATGCTTACCTGAGCCCTCATTCATTCCAGCGCTGTGTATCGCCTTTCATTTCCTGGTTTCACTGGCTTTCCTGAGGCAGCAGGAGCCATTGACTCCCACTGCTGTCAATCAAAGCCAGTGAATAGGGGGGGCGGGGGCCAAGTCCCATTGCTTGTGTCTGTAGATGCAGACAGCAAGTCTTGGGAGCGAGCATGCAAGAGTGCATCCTTTTATGTTCTTTTCCATCTTTATAATGTTCCATTACCTTGTTACGCAGGACTTTTGACAGTTCTTTTCTCATCCCCATGGCTCAGTATCTGGCCTAGTCAGTGCTTCCACATACGAGCTAACAAACTCATTGACTATTTATACACTGCCACTAATTGCAATTTAAAAAGCCACAGATGTGGGACATTAACCATTAATTGGCATTTTAACCTGTGTGTGTCACCTTGTGTGTCTGTACCAAGGCCAAACATTCCAGGGTATGTAATCTTTTGATCATGGCCATTTGGGTGATTTCTGTTGTCATTATGAGTTAAAAAGGAGCCAAACAACTATTTGATAATAAATGGCTTCATCTGATCATCATCCTTCAATCAAAGAGCATTTTTGGCATGATCAGTCATATTTTCAATATCAATGCCAAAATTTCACAATTTCTGCCAGGGTATGCAAACTTTTGAACACAGCTGTATATGTAAACAATTAAAGTGAAAACAAATCTCCAGTCAATGCAATTATGTATTAATTAAAGCATATTAAATGTATTCTTATGAACAGCTTGTATAATGAATTTGATTTTAGATCAGTTTCTTCCAATCCCCCGTAAAGCCATGCTCAGATTGGGAGTGGAAGTGTTGGTGCAAGGAGACAGGCTCTGCTATATGTAAATAATTAACAGGGAACAAGCTGATAGAAGGAGAGAACAGAGGGCTGAGCTACTTCTACTGCTTCTCCACTATCCAGTCACAGGCTGGGGGCAATCTTTAGTGCTTACCTGTGGCTTAGAGGAGTCAGATCGCAAGCCGGGCTCTGGGGTCTGGCAGTCCTGTATAAATCTCAGGAATGGATGGGAAAATAGCAAATACTTTGTCAGACAAGAAAATCCATGGGGATTGTATATGGGACTGTATATGGATACAGTATGTATTTCAACTGTGTATTTAAATTCTTGCCTGGTGGTCAGCTTTAAAAGGACTATAGTTTGATTTTCATCCATTGTCTCCTATTTCAGGTGTGAAAATTGTGGCGCTGTCTTCCATACTGACTGCAAAGTGAAAACTGTCCCCTGCCCAAGATGTGTTCGCAAGGAGCTGCAGAAGAAACAGAAATCGTTCTGGAAAAGGCTGAATGTGGATGACAGCTTGGAAGAGTCCTGCAGTATGTTTGAGCTGTCTTATCAGGGCACGTGACCAATGCAGTCCTAAGTCATTGCAGTTGTTTTCCCTTACCTGCTGCTAGCCAAGCCAGAGTAGAAATCATTTAGGAAGTAATAGTTGGTACCTGGTAACATGTTGCAAAGGAAGCACTCCTCTAGCTATTAGTTTTCTTATGACTTTTCCCTTTCCCCAAGGCACTATAATGACAATTTTACCCTACCCCAGCTCTAAAGTAAGAACATGTACCATAATAGAAGAGACCCCTATTTCCCTGCATGTGTTTATTATTTATTCAGGTTCTAGCTAATGCAATTTGAGTAATTTAGAATGGGAAGGTGCAATGTTATTTATTTTATAATGCATGCACATATGGAGTCCCCTATCTCCATGTGTAAACTTGTTCACTGCCACTCTGAAATTCTCTCATGTGTCCCGTTGCAAAGATCTTTGGGTGGAGGGTGTAGATGGGGAAGAATGTACTAAAACTGGAGCAGCTGTTCATAATAACCAATCTGCTTCATCCTTCAGCTTTTTCTGTTAAACTTTGAAAATGAGAGCTAGAAGCTGATTGGCTGCTCCAGATTCTGGTTGCTCAATTCTTACAAAATTCCTCTTTGTACCTGACATATTGGAAATTTCAACAATTTCTTTATGTATTTATCACTATTGAACCTCACTGTTTAAAAGTAGGTGTACAAAGGGAACTTTGGGGGATGCTATTGCTGACCTTTTTTAAAAAAAAAAACATGTAGTATGCCTGACTGTTGCTGGATTCAGTGTTTCCTGAGAAATTGATCTAGTAATAGTATAGAGAGTCAGAGTAAAATCTAAAATCCTGATCTGTGTGCTTCTTTCAGGTTGGTGATTCATGGAATATTAAAATGTATCTGCAGCCAAATATTTTTTGGGGGGATAAAGTGGGAAAGGACTAGAACATTTTACAGTTTTATTGCTGCCTGAAGCCCCAATTATCATTTTCCCCCTCTTCTCTAGTCCTGGTGATGGGAATGAGGGGAACCCCAAGAGGGACACAGAAAAAAATAATATAGAGCCATGGCCTCCTTTTAAAAAAAAATGCTGCATTGCTTAACTACATTTACATCTGCACATCGTTTTCACAAATATCTGTTGATCCTGCCAATGAGTCCACTCAATGCAGTTTCCTGTGATGGTGTGGTAACAATGCTGCACATCTCCAGAATTTAAAGCAGAGTTGCCACTCATGTAGGCTGTGCCTGTTTGCACAACACTGGGATGAAAAAAATGTTGCAAGAGGTATGGCTGTCATTAGTGATTCACAAGCCTGTATCTTTTCATCAGCACCTGCAAACACTTAGTCCTGTCCACTGCCTTCTGGATTAACAGCACTGCCTCTATTGTTGAATTGTCACACTGTGGGGCCTGCAGTGTCTGTATGATTGAAAACACAAACAAAGGAGGATCTGGCTCACATAAGGAAGGTGATTAGTTTACGAGGTTGTGCATCATATTCATGTTGCCAGGACTGGAAGTGAGGGAACAAGGATTGGGGCCTCAGTCAACAATTAAAAATGGACAGAGGTTCTGACCATTCTGCACTATATCCAAACAAATCACTCTTAGTGGAATCACTCTTTAAAATATCAGGAACACAATGATAGGCAAGCCAAGCAGCTAACAATTTTAAGAGGGGAAGTCAGTAAGTCCAAAAGAGGTCATTGATGAAAAAAACAAAGCCGTGGAAAAAATGTACAGAGAAAAAGTCAACCCTTTTGGGTTATTTTCCTGTTATGTTGTTTCTTTTGGATTGCAGCATGCCATCTACAGTAAGCTGAGCACTTCTACTAAAGTATAATAGTAACCTTCATAATGGATAATGGTTGAAGCCGAAATCCAAGCTAAACATATATTACCTAAATACCAGAGCCATGTGTGTTCTTCCATTTTGGTGTTCTCTGTTTTTTTTCTTTTAAGACCAGTAATTCACCATGAAACAATTCTTGCACTCTGCCTCTGTGCAGGATTTTCCTGTAATAAAGACCAGTCCTTGCTGCTCTCTTTAATTGTGCTGATTGTCTGGTCTTGTATCTGCCCCTTATAGTTTTGTGAAGGCCGTCAGTAGTGGATGAGCCTGCTGGGTCCCTTCTAAAGCTTCGCTCAGGTTATATGTATCCCAGTGACAGTGTCACTGCTATTTGTATGGTGTAGTATCTGGGTATGCAAAGGAAATTGGTAAAAACAAAGTTAATTTATATCTTCTGTGACTATTAAGGAATATATTCAAAGGAAAGTTATTATGCCTAGAATTCAGCTTTAACTTTATTGTACTAAGATAGGTAAACCTGTAGGGAGAGAGATATTCTAGAAGAAATCTGCAGAGCTAGAAATGATCATTCCCATTATTTCCTAAAGAATACCATAACCTTTAAAAGGAGCCTTCATAATTGTGTAAGTTATTTCTTGTTAGGGTTCAGGTTACAGTGTGTTGGATGAGAAGGGTTGCAGGTGTTCCACACACAGCCACTTAGGTTCTCTTTTCTTTGCAAACCATCAAGGAGACGGCATTTATGGACACAAACAATACACTGCTCTTTTCTGTTTTTTTTTTTTTTCTTTGTAAAGAAACAAATCAAGGGCAAGCTTTGTACAATGGATTAATCAGGACAATTTATACTGAAACGTATTTGATGTTTTGTTTACAAATACAGAGCATTTCAGAATGACGCACATGGGCTTCAATCTGCATGGTTCAAAAATTGGAACTCTGCGGTGGCAAAAAACTGCAGATGACTCTGAACTGGTGTTTTGTTCAATGTCAGTGTTTTCAAAAGCCCACATGCAAGGCAGAGCGATTTGTTTTATGTCATGTGTTTAAAAAATAATGGTGCCTTTAATCTTACAGGTGGAGAAATCAAATCTCATAATAATTATACCGTAATTATTCTGCTATTCTTACATTGTCCCATTTTGTGTGCTCATGAAACTTGAGAGGAGGCCTTGAGTTCATTTTGTCACCCGTAAATATGAGAGGGTGTGTGTTTTTTGTCCAGTAAAATTTTATTATCTCTAATCACAAGCCTTTCTTAATCTGAATTGTACAGAATATATAAATTGTCCTAAACCAGAAACCTTTTGTCTAGTAGAATTGTAAATATAATTTCCTAGATTTTTTTTTTTATTTTGATTATTGTGTTCCTTTTGGTACATGGAGTTCCATAATGTCGTAGTCCTCTTAATTACCACTAATACACACTGACCTCTTTGTTGGCCTAGGGTACTCATTCAA